GAGAGAGAGACCAGAAGACAGTGGAATGACTAGAGCAGCGGTCGCCAACCTTTCAGACCTCACAGACTACCAGTGGTCCGCGGACCACCATTTGGCAACCACTGGACTAGAGCACTAAAGGCAAAAACAAACAAACAAACCCAAAAAACAAAAATAATAATTAAAAAAACACACCAAGCTAAGATGCTGTATTCAGAAAAAATATACTTCAAGAATGAAGGCATTTTCAGATAAAAGGAAACTAAGAGAATTAATTCATCATTACCACAGCTACACTATAAAACCACCAGAGTTCTTCAGCTTGAAGTAAAATTATGCTAGGTGGAAATTCAAAACATCAAAAATAGTAGTATGAGTAAATATGAGAAATTTTACACTCTCCAAAACTTTAAAGAACATGTGACTGTTTATAGCAAAAATTGTTAACACTGTATTGTGAAGTTTATTAACATATTTAGATGCAATACATACAACATATAACCTGTATGGTTACAAAGGACCAGGGGAGGGGAGAGTGCAACTGTGTAGTTTCAAGGTTCTTATCCTTTAAAAGTGTTGCATTACTAAGTAGATTGCAAAAATATAAGAATGTACTTTGCAATCTCTTGAAGGACCATGGAAATAATGCAAAAGGCAATTGTTAAAATAGTCAGTGGTTAAGCATCGACCTATGAACCAGGAGGTCATGGTTTGATTCCTGGTCAGGGCACATGCTGGGACCGTGGGCTCCACACTCAGTCAGGGTGTGTGTGAGGCAACCAGTCAGTGATTCTCTCTCATCACTGATGTTTCTATCTCGCTCTCTCTCTCCTTTCCCATTTGGAAAAAAAATTACCAGAGATAAGCAGAAAATTCTAAAATCTACTAGATAGAAAAAAATCAGAGTAAGAATGATACTTGTAATGAGATACCATCTCACACGTGTCAAAAAGGCTACCATCAACAAATCAACAAATGACAAGTGCTGGAGAGGATTCGGAGAAAAAGGAACCCTCGTGCACTGCTGGTGGCAATGTAGACTGGTGCAGCCACTGTGGAAAACAGTATGAAGTTTCCTCAACAAACAAAAAATGGAACTTCCATTTGACCCAGTAATCCCACTTCTAGGAATATATCCCAAGAAACCAGAAACACCAATCAGAAAGGATATATGCACCCCTATGTTCATAGCAGCACAATTCACCATAGCTAAGATTTGGAAACAGCCTAAGTGCCCACCAGCAGATGAGTGGATTAGAAAACGGTGGTACATCTACACAATGATTCGAATACTAAGTTTCTGTAAAAGGGGAGGAACTCCTACCATTTGCAACAACATGGATGGACCTGGAGAGCATTATGCTAAGTGAAATATGTCAGTCAGAGAAAGATAAATATCACACGATCTCACTCATTTGTGGAATATAATGAACAACATAAACTGATGAACCAAAACAGATCCAGAGACAGAGAAACATCGATCAGATGCTCAAACCTTAGGGAAGGTAGGGGAGAGTGTGGGGTAAGGGGGAGAGATCAACCAAGAGACTTGTATGCATGCATATAAGCATAACCAATGGACACAGACAACAGAGGGTGATGGTGAGGGTGAGAGTGAGGGCAGGATTGAGGAGGTGGGAGGGGCAATGGGGGGATAACCACACATTTGCAGTTCCTTAATGAAAGGATACATGTAATAATACTTTAATCAATAAAGAAAGAAAATGATACTTGTCTTCTCAACAGCACTGAAAACTGGAAGACAATGACACTGATGTTTCTATCAATACCCTCAAGATTCTGAAAGAAATGTTTTTCAATTCAGAATTATATATTCAGCCCAATTATAAGTAAAAAGTGAGGACAGACCAATACATTTTCAGGCATTTGAAACTGCATAAAAATTATCACTTTGGATAGCATCGCAGGAAATTTCTGAAGGATGTGCTTCATGAAAATAAGGGCAGAGCAAGAAGGACACAAGTTCCAAAAAAAGTAAATTCCTAGAATGATAGCAAAGACATGTCTAGAACAACTGTGTACCAGGCCCAGAGGGAAAGAAGTCCAGTTTGGAGCAGAAAGGAATACTGTGGGTGTGGAGAAGGATAAATCATCTGATAGGTGCGATGTGGGAAAACTTCTATGGAGAGTTTTTGAATAACATGAAACGACTTAGTCAAATGTACAAATAAACTAAAGCAATGAGATGTAATTATTTATTCTGGGGGGGGGGGAGTTGTAGAAAAAATGAAAACAATATGGCATATAGTGCTCAGCAGTAACAAAACTTCAGTTCCAACAATGAAAAGACAGTGTGGATTAAACAAAAAACTACACTGGAATGAAGGAAAAGGTCATAAAGGTACTAATTTCTCTTCTACCATAATAAGACAAATGATTTGTTCAATTTCATATCTCAAAGTTCATTCCTTTAGCAGTTATGTCTATTGAGAGAAACAGATAAACAAGTAAACAAACATGATTACAGGTGTTGGCTATCAGTGCTCATTGATAAGTGTGTCTTGTACCTTAAGTTGTGTACTTTGTAATAGCTTTACTTAAATAACACATGCTTTAGTATGCTTATTCCCAGAAAGGTATCAAATTTATGAAAAGATGCTGAGTGCTCTAAAATGTTACAAGGAAAAAAGATGGAAGTGAGGCAAATAATACAAGATACGGGAAAGGAGTGTTTAAGATAAGTAGTTCTCAACTCTGGCTGTACATCTGAATTATCTTGGCACTGATGCCCAGACCACCCCACCCCATTCTGATTGAATTGGTCTGAGGCATATTATTCTAATACACAACCAAGATTGAGTGATTTGAGTATCTCTGGATTAGATGTGTTTTAGTGGTTAAAATGGAAAATGCTGAGGTTGCCATTAATTCTGTCAATATAGAAAGTAAAACCAGAGGCATGGAACAGGCTGGTGAATGTCAGAGGGAAGGGGGAGGGGGCAGGAAGGGACCAACCAACCAACTTGTACTGCATATATGCATTACGGACAATAGGGGGTGAAGGACTGGGGCCAGGCAGGAATCAGGAGGAGAGGGGCAATAGGGGGACATCTGTAATACTCTCAACAATAAAGACTTAAGAAAAGAATGGTTGCATCTTTATAAAGTGAAAAAAGAAAGTAAAAATACAAGACTACTAAAGTAGCAATCCCTTGCTTCAAAATAACATACCATGACTAAACTCTTCAACTGCCCCCATGGCTTGCTCTGTATAAAGTCTTAGTCAACATACAAGGCCCTCTGTGACCTGGTTCCCCTGGCTACCTTTCCAACCTCATCTCCTCTAACTCCCCCACAGGCAAACTAAAATACAGCCAAACTAAACTATTTTCAGCTTCCTTCCATGTACCAAACTATTTAATTCCTCTCCCATTGCATATTATTAGTCCTTCTGCCTAAAATAACATGCCCCTTCTACTCAGTCTGCCTAACATGCCTTAGTTATAAACTTCTACTTATTATTAAAGTCCAACTATACCTTTTCCTGTAGTCTTCCAGGAACCACGTTAGAAAAATTAATCATTTTCTTTTGGCACCATCACCACACTTTTATACATATCAGTTAATAATTTATCACATTTTATTCCCGCCCCCCACTTCTTTCTGTTATGTACTGATGTTTGAGCATTATGAGAGCAAGTAACTGTGCCTTTCCTGTTTGTCTTTAAATCTTTGTATCTCCTAAGTTTAACTCTAAAGACTGATTTATGCCCTATGCCCATGAATGATTGAGAATAAAATGACAGAAAAACTACTAGTACTAAATATACCGCAGGAAAGTTAAAGTCTACGTAGTAATGAGGATTTAGGAGACCTGAACAGTTATATGACTATAAAAGCAGCCTATGCATACTTTTCACCATCTCCCAAATTTCCCCTTTATCTTCTCCAGTCCCTTTTAACCTGATTAAGGAAGACAGAAACAAAACAACAACAACAAAAACCTGATAAAGAGCAGCAATAAAATAGAAGGGGAGAAAGAGGAATAGGACAGATTACCAAGGAGAAACAACGACTTAGGTAACGTTTTATTTCTTAAACTACAGGAAAAATAAGCAAGTGATTATTATATGGATCTTTATACTTTTCAGCATGTCTTAAAATGCTGCTTTATAGAGTAGCGAATTTATGTAACAAGGATTAGAAAATATGAACTGCTGAAAAAATAATACATTAAATTTATGTATGGATAATATTCGTAAGGTGTTAAACTCTGGCCACTTTAAAATCACTTGAAAAGTGTGGTAATTGGCCTTAGCTGGTTTGGCTCAGTGGATAGAGCCTCGGCCTTCAGACCAAAGGGTCCCGGATTCGATTCCAGGTCAAGGGCATGTACCTGGCTTACAGGCACCTTCACTGTCTGGGCCTTGGAGGCAACCAATCGATGCAACACATCGATGTTTCTCTGTCTTTCCCTCTCTCTTCTATTCGCTCTAAAAATCAATGGAAAAACTGATTGGGTGAAGATGTACTACAACAACAACAACAACAACAACAAAAGGTGTGGTAGTTGAATATGCCTACATATGTATACGCATATATATTTATAACCTTGGAAAGGATTATTTTAGTGTTCTTATCAATCTGTGAAACAAGTGAACTGAAAACACTTCCCTGTCTTCGCTTCTTAAATCCAGATAAAAGATACCACATTAACAGTAACATATTGGTATCATCCTAAAACAGTTTTTTTATTATGTCCAGGTATTAAATTCGAAATGAAACTAGTTGTATTGAAAAACCAGTTTCAACTACTAAGAAAAATATTTAAAAGAATACCTAAAACTTTACCGATTGTCGCCTCTCTTTTTTGTTGTTGTTGTTTGGGTATTTTCCCTTTTCAGAAGACATCCCCTTTCATTCTCTGACTCAGAACAGGTTTTACAGCTTGTTGGCCCTTTGGACTTGCAACGTCTAGATGTCTCATAACCAGCGCTGGAGTAATACAGACACGCAAAACCCTACCTAGCGCCACAGCCTTTGCTTTCCTAACGTCTAGGAGAGGAAGAAAGGGTTTGGGCGGAAGTTTCCCAGAAAGCCGCGGATCTGAAAAGGGCGACTCGTGCCCGAGTCCTGGAGGGTAGGCGGCATTAGAGAGAGCGGGAGGCGCATTGGCTTAACGAGCAGGTCCAAAACAAAGCAGCACTAGTTAAAAAAAAAAAAAAAAAAGTCCATCAGTTTCAGGGCAGACACTTATCCAGGGGCAAGACTTGGGATGTCTAATGAGAAACATAAAAGGCACCCACCCCATATGCCTCCAGGTGCCAGTAGGTGTTTCCCGCTGAGCTTCACTAATACCCCAAAATCCCTAGTTTGGATTCCGGGGCACCAAACGCCTCCCTTTCGGACTCCCCAGGTCCCCCCCACACCAGGTCTCCCCTGCTCCTTCTCCCAGCCTGAAGACCGAGTGTCTACCCGCTCCCGAAGTCACTTCTCCGCGTCCCAGAACGTCTGTCCGCCGAC